TTTTTTTTTTCAAAAAATGTCAAAAGAAATGAAATATTTCGAAATAAAGCTAAAAAATGAAAAAAGTTTGAGAAAGTATTAATTCAGGAACACATTAAAAAAAATTAATTCCAATTTTTTTCCATAAGTTGAAAAGCTTCAAAAATTCGGGAAAAAAAGTAAACTTTTTTCTCAAAATTTCAATATGCTAGCTTATGACTTTCTTAAAATCCATTGATGCTAACTTTGTATCTATCGGAACTCGGAATAACTTTATAATATAAAAATCATTCATATGTACAACGTAAAATCACTGAAAGTATAATTGTATTGTTAACAATTATGTCAAAGAAATTGGTCAATGGAAAAAATATGCCTTTTCATTCTTTTGATATACGTTTTCAAGAATACCGTCAATGATTATTATCAGATGATCCCGTCCATAAAAGATAAGATATGCCTTGCTTTATTCTTTAATGTACGATTCCAGGAATACTGTCAATGATTATTATCAGATGTTTTATGATCCTTTGTTAACTTTACCACACCATCAACTGTTTACTTCATCATAGGCATAAGAGAATCATCCAATTCAAAAGGAATATTGAGTTTCATTTCCTATTTTTATTTCCATCACAATCAATTCACGAGAGTGAGGAAAGAGAAAGACGAAGTGATTACTTGCATTTATATCCTGTTATCAGTTTCATTTCACTTTTCTATTTTTTTTCGCTTTGGGAAAGTTTTGATTTGGCACAGTCGAATATTTGGTGATGGTCAATTTCTTCTTTGTTGAACTGTTCATTATGCATCTTAGTTTATCCGAAAATTTATTATGAAAACGGAAAGAAATTCGGAAACAACTTCTTTCTAACTATAATTTGTCTCGCGCTCATTTCAAAAATTGTCACTTTCAAAATTTTACCATTTAATGGAACCTATGAAGTTGTGATTTCAAAATGAAGTAACCCAACATTTATAATTAATTTCTGTTAAAGCACTAACAGAAATTTCAGATGTGCAAGTTTGATAGCATAATGAGAATGATACGTAAGCAATAAATTGATGCAAACAAAACAACATTCAATTCATGTGCGCTAAAAAACATTCAGATTAGCTAAATGCTTTAGCTTCGCTTCACTAAATTTATATTTTATAGCCCAATATTAGTAATCAAATTCCGTTAAAGCACTAACAGTGATTTCAGGCTCTGTGGCACAATAGAAAGGCTACATTAGCAATAGATTAGTACAATCAAAAACACCAAAATGATAAAATTATCTCACTGAGAGGAACTGTTTCAACTCCATTGCCTGCTGCGTTTATCTTCCATCCGCTTCTACTGCTCTTTTTGGAACCGGTTCTCCTCCATCACCTGCCTCGCCTTGCTCTCCTCGGGATCTTATCACTCCTTGTTCTCTTTTCGGGCCACCACTATTCCCCGATCTTCCTAACAATCCTTCAGGTTCTTCTCGGCTATCTCGTCCTTTTTTTTTGTGTAAGAAGATAATATAATTCAAATCCGAATTTCGAAGTTTGAAAAATAGAATTTCCAAATTTACAAATTCAATCTTAAAAAATTCACAAATTTCGGGTAACTAAGATGCATAATGAATAGTTTAACAATCGATTAATCAAATGCCTTTTCCATTCTTTTGCGCAATTACGCTTTTCAAATTATAAGACTTCTAACTGTGGCAATATTTATTGCTTATTTACTTTTTGAAAAAGTTGCTCGTGAAATTGTTGAACGTAAACTACCTCCGTCACCTAACTGTACCATAAGATTTTTGCATGTTTTTCATAACCTATATTACGTGTGATTGTGCATTCCCCTAAGCACTTACTTGGTCATAGAAAACAGATCTCTTATTTAAATTGCATCTCTCCCTTAAAATATATTCGATAATTATCCTCATGAGAATTGGTGAGGTCAATGAGATATTGGATGTGCGGAAAGGAATATGAATGATATATGATAAGATAAATCACGTAATTGACATAACGAGAAAATTATAACGATGGGAAAACCTCAGGTACGATTACTAATTGGATTGTTCGGTACAATGATTATTTTTGGTGGAATTTCGAGCTTGTTCTCGACACTCCCGAGAGAGGAGAGAAAGATATTCTAATGGACAGATTTGGGGTTTACAGGATAAAACATTGTGATCCTCAGAACTTTCTAAACCTTGATTATGGTTAGTACAAGTTTGAATTAAGCGTAGTGGAATGGTGGTAGGTGTTTCTAAGTTTGTTAAAACGAAATTGATTTACTCCTCTTTTGTAAGTTTATCTGGCTCCGTGTTCGATGTCGTCGCCACTTTCATTCGGAATCTTCAAGTATTACTTGTGGTATTCCGGTTTTGGATAACTAGTTCTGCGCTCTCTGATTGGTTCGCGGGGTTCTCTGGAATAGATTGTTCTTCTGGGGAAACTTTAAGTGTGGATACAACGTATTTACTGAACGATTTAGAAGTTTTCCTGATGGTGTTTCGATCTGAGCGCTCCTGACGTACCCATCATTGGCTACGTTTAATTTCTTTATTCTTGCTAGTTTCCAGATACCGCGTGGTACATGAGGCTCATCTAACAGTACCACTTCTCTCTCTATCGGCTGTCTCTTCTCTACATTTCTTGGAGATTTATGTTCTGATTGGTATCGATCCTTTAAGCTATTCAAGTACTCGTCCTTCCATATCTCCCAAAATGTTTTCAATGCTTCTTGGGTACTCGACCTTAAAGTAATTTTTCTTGTGTGGTTGGTTTATGAGGATTCGTGAATTCGTCTTCTTTGTCGTCATTGCTATTTGGTATAGACAAAGAAGCATTGAGCAAGATAAAGTCTATTGGTCGCAAGATAATTGAATCGTCGAAATTTACGTAAGTTAAGGGGCGATTGTTAAGAATACTTTCCACTTCGATAATCAATGTAATTAATTTCCCTTCCTTAAGCAGTCGTCTACCAATAGCTCTTCTTAAACTCTTCTTTGTTAGGCCGATTAGTCTTTCGTAGATTCCACCGCTCTATGGTGCTTTCGGTGTTATAGTCTTGCATTTGATTCCTTCCTTTGCGAGGAAATTAGATAGTAGTGATTCTTACGTTTTTATGGTTTGAAAAACTGTCTGAAATTGGCTGGAATTGTCCGAAAGAATGAGTTCGGGATAGCCGCGTCGAGCAACGAATCTTTTTAATGCAGTTAGAAAGCTTTCCGTTGATAGATCGTCTACAATTTCCAAATGTACCGCTCTGGTGGTGAAGCATGTGAACAAGGTAATCCATCGCTTTGCTCTCTCCAATTGTATCTTCACAGTAATAGGCCCCAAGTAGTCGAGGCCAATTCGTCCAAACGTTCTTGATTTAGTGATCCGCTCTTGCGGATAATTTGGCATAAGCGGTAATTTGAACGGCTTGGCCTTCCAGCGTTTGCAACTCATACAGCGGTTTAAGGCCTTCTTGATTTCAGTTCTTCCTTTTGGGATCCAATAAAGTTTTCTTATTCTGGAGATAGTTTGAGGGATACCTCAATGGTGCGTCACTTCGTGGTGGTGTTGAATATCGATTGTGTCTGGGGAGATATATTGTTTGAGATGTGTATTCCCCGTTGTTCGTCAATTGTAGTTTGCTTTGGAATCTCCAGTACCCATCTGCATAGTGCAGATTGTATCTTTCCACTTCTTCTGCTGATATACCTTCTGATTGGAATTGTTTTACTAGTAGTTCTGCAGCAAGATTATAATCCTCTGGTGTAATCACATTCCTTTCTGATATGTTGCTTAACGAGGTTAATTTTCCTTTAGATAATTTTTTGAAAAATTTTAGTACTCTTACTGTTGTTCTTATCAACTTCGTCCATTTATTGAATCAATTTGCCTCCAAAAGATTGATTCGTTTTGTATTGATGATTTCTTCTGTGTTTGCTGTTGCTATCATATTCCCATGTTCTTCGTTGTCCTCTTCTTGTGGAACATCGTACGGCCAATTCCGTTCATCACCATTGATCAATGTGGGCCCGCTCCACCAAAGCTCGTGACCAAATGAGTCGGGTTGGAATGGTTCCTCTGGTAGCAATATCTGCTGGATTGTGTTTTCGCTTGGGATATCTCGAAATGCGAACTTCACCGTTTGTATTTCTTACCACACGATTCTGTATAAATTTTGGTAGGAGACGAGAATTGTTTGGTATCCAATGTAGTGCATAGCGAGAGTCCGACCATAGCACTACCTTTGGATTTTCTAATTCCATTTGTTTGATGAAAACTGCTGAGCTGCGCGTACACCGATGAGAATAGCTGGTAATTCTAGCTTTGATATCATCATTCCTTTGATCGGTGCTATTCGTAATTTGGCAAAGAGTAGCGACGTATGCGTATTTTGATGGGCGTATATTGCTGCAGCGTATGCCACTGTAGATGATACATCGGTGAAAAAAAAATGAAAGGTAATTTGTTGTGATAAGTTGATTATGAATCGCGAGATTTCCTTGATTTGAATTGGGAATCTTGTTACAAGATTGTTCCATGTTTCAATCAGTTGATCGTTGAGGGGTTGATCCCGATGTATGTTTTTTCTCCAGAGTTCTTGGAGAAATATCTTGAACGGTACCATTAGTGATACTAGAAACCCAAATGGATCGTATTGTGAGGAGATGAATCGTAGAATAGGTCCATGGATTCAGCGTTATTTCGATATGATCCTTGTATGAATTCCACTTAATCCCTAATAACTTTTGTTTAATTTTGGTCCGACTTGGGTAGTTACGCGTTGAATGTCTGGTCATTTGAAAAGAATTCTCGCACGTTCATTGACGCATCCTTGAAAATTGATTTTGTTTCTTCGCATTTATTCAAGGCTTCTTTTTCTTGGCTCGCCGATAAGATGATGTCGACGTAGAGATTCTTCTTGATTTCGCGTGCAATTTCAGTCTCATAATGTTCCAAATGATAATTGAGAGTTGCTGATAATAAAAAGGGTGACGATATCACTCCAAAGGGAACTCATTTGAATCGACAGCATATTAAATTATCTCTATCAACCTGCTTCTGAATATCTTCCATCCATAGAAAGCGTTCACTGTTTTTAAGGCAAAAAATTATGCTTGAAGAGAAATTATTTGCAAATTTTGTTTTCAGGCTTGTTTTCCAT